TTAAAGGGTATGTCAGGGCAACCTCCGCTCCCTCTTTTAAATAGTCTTAGCTTTAATGGAGTTGTATTGGCTCGAGACCGTGTCGCATTCTGAAAGTGCCTCTCTTTAGTAGCATTTATCAAAACTACTTTTGACTTTCGCAAACCAAGATTTGAAAAGATTTGAAGCCTATTTAAAGAAGTGGGCCTTAGACCTTTTGAGACCACCAAAGATATTCACCCCTCCCCGCCATTCAAGTTGGTATCTGATATTCCTTTTATATACAGAAAGTAAAGATATATCTTTCTGCATCGCTTCCCAGAGAAGTGAGCAAATTCTGCCCAGAGCAGGACAATAGAGTTGCGAGACAATAGAGTTAATACCTGCTTTCCACATCTGGGCTTAAAGCAGGTTTAAAGAAAGGAGCAGGAAGTAAGTAGTGGGATGATTACATTTCAGGTTAGGCCACACTAGCTATAACTTATGGACCAAGCACAATTTTCTTATTTATTAGAATTATTTTTAGCCTGCCCTTATTATTTTACAAGTAGCTCAAAGCAGCAAACATACATAATACTCATTTCTGTTCCTATTTTCTCCACAACCACCGCCCTGTGAGGTGATTGGGTTGAGAAAGAATGGTTAGCCCAAAGTCACCCAGCCGACTTTCATGCCTAAGGTGGGACTAGAACCCACAGTCTCCTTGTTTCTAGGCCATCACCTTCACCACTATACCAAACCAATTCTATCATGTGCAGCCATGGTATCCCAATGCCATACAGATAATCTTTGGCTTACAACCGTTCATTTGGTGACCATTCAAAGTTGTAGTGGCTCTGAAAAAAGGTATCACAGAACTGGTCATATTTACAATTGTCACAGCGTCTCTGCGGTCAGTTGATCATGATTCAGGTGCTTGGCAACTGTTACGCATTTATGAAAATTACAGCACCTCCTGGTCATGTGACCACCATTTGCTATCTTCCCAGCCAGCTTCCGACAAGCGAAGTCACTGGGAAAACCAGCAGGGATGGTTGCAAGTCATTGTCATGTGATGTCTCACTTACCGACCACAATGTTTTGTTAAATGACTGGGTCTAAAAAGGTCGTAAAATCAGTTGCCATCATGTGATATCCCATATAATGACCGCATCACTTAATGATTAATTTTCCAGTCCCTATTGTGGTGATAAGTCAAAGATTACCTGTAGAAAGCTCTGGGAGCACGTGTGGTTCTTCATTAATGATCTCATTGTTAACGATTGTCTAGTATCCTGGATTCATCATCACCAAGATGCAGCAATTTGGGTTTGAAGGGCGTTTGAAGGGGAAAAGGGGCTCTGGCATACTCATAGGTATGCACGTAACTCCTGTTAGCTGCTTCTTAAAGCTTGTGTTGCTGTTGTTGAGGTCATCTGGGATGATCCTGAGAAAAGAACCAGCTGCTTTAAGGATTTGCTGGCTCTTGCTGTGTAAGCATCCCCAGAATGCATCCACACATTCTGAAGCACCATTCTCTCCCCCAGTCCAAAGGGTAGCCCATCTTGATAAAGATGTGCAAATCCTTTAAAATTTAAAGATTCTGTAGAACAGGTTTATCAAACTCAGGGGTTAGGCCCACAGGATGCTTGGATTTGGCCCACAAGGCCATCCTGGAAACAGCGAGGGACCAGCCTGTGGTGTCTCTGCCAATGAAAATGGAGCTCAGGGGGGTCATGTGTGACCCTCCCGAGCTCTGTTTTTGCTGGCAGAAGGTTGTATGAGGCTATCGCAGCCGGAAACGAAGCTCAGGAGCCCGTTTTCACTGGCAGAGCGCTCAGGCCACCACAGGTGCTTTCAACACGAGTGACTTCAAGCTGGCCACACATACCCCACCCCCGAGGTCAAACACAACCCTGATGCGGCCCCCAATGAAATTGAGTTTGATGCCCCTGCTGTAGAATGTACTTTTAGTACACAAAACAGATGTGCATGCCAGTTCCTGCAGTGGTGATCTGGGAGAGCTTCCCAAGGAAACTGTGCGCCTGGAAAATGACTGGCTTACTTTGAAATGTTCAAAAAGAGGTGCTTTCTTATGTGCTCCTGCACATGCTGAAATGTCTCGTTCAGCGGATTTGCACCATGCTTGCATAGACATTTGCCTTTGTACAAAGGCCTAGGCATTGTGAGGGGGAAGGAAGGGCAGATGAAGAAACACCCGTTGTGATACAAAATCTGCTATTTATGTATTTGCATCAGATGTCATGGCATCATGACAGAGTTTGTATCCTAAAGTTACTGCATAGGTTGTCATTTTGACCCAGTCTAATTAGAGAAGCCTATCTGTGTATATGTCACTGGCATTATCAGTGGTCATATTCCGTGAAGAAACATAATAAAACAGAAAAGCAATGCTTTGTTTATGCAAAACATTTAGTCTAACGTTCAGTCTAACATTTAGGTTAGACTAAAATGGTTTAGGGCAGCCATTTTGTCTTATCTTAAACCTCGCTTAAAGTCATTTTGTTATTCATTGTGTCTAGAAACATATCTACAGAGACATTCTACAGGACAGATGGTCCTCCACTTATGACCACAGTTACAACTAATATATACCTCAGCTGGTGACCACTGTTGCGAGGCAAGGTGGTTGTTGAGTGAGCTGTGCCCGATTTTATGACCGTTCTGCCACAATTGTTAAGCAAATCACTTTAGTTGTTAAGTGAATCATGTCATTAAATGACACCGGCTCCTCCCATTGACGTTGCTTATTGTAAGCCAGCTGGGAAGGTGACCAATGGTGATCACAAGACCCTAGGACCCTGCAAGCATTGTAAATACATACCAGTTGCCAAGTGATTATGGGAATGTTGTGATGGTTATAGGCATGAGGACCAGTTACAAAACATTTTTTTTTAGCGCTGTTGTAATTTCGAATGGTCACTAAACAAATGGTTGTAAGTTGAGGACTACCACAGCCAGAGAAATATGCAACTGTTAATGTATGATTTTCTGCATTCAATTTCAAAATAAAATTTGGTGTAAATGCCACACTACCCCGTGACAGATTAAAGACAGATTTGATACTGAAATTAACCTTAATAAATCCTTGGTTATAAAGATGAAGAGTGACTATTCTCTTCAATCAAAATAAAAGCTATCATAATTGTTCATAAACAATTTCTATTGCTAAAATGAGACAGCTGTTAAGTGAATTTTGCCCTATTTTATGACATTTCTTGCCACTGTTGTTAAGTGGATCGCTGCAGTTAAGTTGGTAACACGGTTGTTAAGTAAATCTGGCTTCCCAATTCACTTGGCTTGTCAGAAAGAAACAAACGTTGATCACGTGACTCAGGGACACTGCAACCGTCATAAATAGGAGTCAGTTGCCAAGTGGCTGAATTTTGAACACATGACTAGGAGATGCTACAACAGCTGCAAATGTGAAAAACGGTCATAAATCACTTTTTCCAGTGCCGTTGTAACTTTGAACTGTGATTAAACTAAGTGTTATAAGTCAAGGACTACCTGTATTTTTAAACAATACAGTATTATTTTTTAGTTATGAAGAATTTAGTGATACACCTAAACTCCGTCTCATGTAGTACTTATATTCTTTTTCTTTTCAGTTTATACCGATGCCTGTTCTCTATGGAGTGTTTTTATACATGGGTGTTTCTTCTCTGAATGGAATACAGGTATTTATATATATATATTATGTAAGCACAGAAAGGATGTCTGGGCCTTTGAATGGTTAATGTTTGTGGTAAATTTTTGTAAGTGGTAAGGACATCAGAAGACTGAAAAAAGAGCTTTGTATTTTGAGTAGAGAAAACATGTATTCCACCAGATAGTAGTGGTAAATACCAGGTAGCCATAGTACCAGTACCTGATAGCCATAATAAAAAGGCAGCTGTATCCGAATCTAGGGCATGGTGCTCATCTCAGTTTCTTGGCTGCCAACATGGTCTGAAGATAATTTCCAACAATAATTTCAGCATTATCCTGTAGAAAGTTAGCACCCACCCCTTTCCTAGAAGAATGAAATATTTTGAGAAATATTAAAAAGGCAGGATAAAATATTTCTCCTAGAAGAGAAATAAAAATCCTAAGGGGGACAGAAACTCAGAGCTCCAGCTCCCTGCCCCCAGCAAGATACTGAGCTGAGACCAGCTTTTAGAAATGCAGATTTGGTAATCCATTACTCCCTGCAACAAGGTCTGATTATCCCTCAGCCATAATAAGAATTGCCCAACACCCTTTTAGGACACAAACTCCTTCATTGCATCATCTCAGTTGCACCACACCCTCCAAACTTTAATCAAACTTGGGGGCTCTGATAAACTACAGAGCCAGCTATGACCCCTACAACAATCAATAGAATACATATTCTTGCACAGGAACAGGAAGCTCAAGTTCAAAGCCCAAGAGAAGGTATAAATACCTCTCACTCTCAACTTCATGTGGTCAGTTGCCCAGAATCACCCATGTTGCTGCTTCTTCATCAATAAATCATCTTTCCAATCAGCCTCCATGTTTTCAGTGTCTTTCTCCCAGCTTGGAACTGAACCGGATGGATATTTCTTCCAACAGTCCAAAGACAATACTGCCGTAGTAGCTTTGCAAACAATAGTAGACATTTTGCTTTACCTATCAAGGCTTATATTTCTCCATGGTTCAGTCCTTGGGCTTCCATAAGATGAGTCATTGATCCATTGGGCTTTGATCTTGTAATTGTGGCCCAGACATCACCAAGCCAGACAAAGGAGGTTTGGATTTTTGTTACGTAGAGTACTAGGGCCTGGATCTCTGGGATGTTTGCCTATTAATGGATCAGAGCACATAACCCATAGCATATGACTTCTTCCCCATCACCCTCTGAGTTGGACATCATAAAACCCTGAGATTTGTACCATTTTTCAGGTTTTTAATTTATATATACTGTATATATGAACATGAATTTGGGCAAACTCTGGAAGACAGGGGAGGGATGGGATCTGGCATACTATGGTCCATGAGTTGGACATCTTAGTGAGTGAACAACAACATACTTCATATATTCTGTACTGTGCTAGAATATGACACAATAAATTTATTTCATGGTTGCTTGTAACCTCAAAGTCTGTGCACTTCCTTTTGTTGTAAACAAAAAAAAGCACCACATTCCATCTTTCAACAGAAGATACTAGGGACTGAAGTTTTGATCAATAGAATGCAAAACTTATGCCTTAAATTGAGCTGGGCTGTTTCTCAAGTATTATAACATTTCAGTGTTTGAGTAACAGCTTTAAACTATAAGTTGTGAGGATACATTATTGTTTAAGAGTGGTGTTTGACAAACCTTGACAATTTTAAGGTGTGTGGACTTTCAGAATTCCCCAGCCAGTTGAAGTCTATACATCTTAACATTGTGAGGTTGAGAAATACACTGTTTAAAAGTATATTGCCAGGTATAACACAAAGGGTTCCCTGGGAAACCACTCAAAGTGAATTTTATCAAAATGCCTTTTGACCATGGGTGGAAATATATATGATTCCTGTTCATAGGATGCAGATTTAAAGAATTAATGGCTTTTGTATTACTGACTAAAGCTCTTGTGTGAAAAATGCTCTTGACCCATGTACTAGGTTGTGCAATGGTTTCCTTATGGCAGCACATCCATGAAAGTGTTAGTTGTACTCTGCCTTGCCTTCCCAGCCAGGATGAACAATTCCAGGATGCTTGGTTGGAACAATATGATTTCTAGAATGCCTACTCTACCAGTTGGATCTTTTTCAACAAATGCTCTGTTTTTGTTGTACTATTTTCCTAGTTTTTTGATCGCCTGAAGTTAATGGGAATGCCCACCAAGCATCAGCCTGATTTCATTTACCTGCGACATGTTCCTCTGAGGAAAGTGTATCTCTTCACAGTGATCCAGCTCACCTGTCTGATCATTCTGTGGGTTGTCAAGATGTCTCCTGCAGCCATTATCTTTCCCATGATGGTAAAAATACTTAAGCTGAAGTATCCATCTCTTGTCATAAGGGCATGGGGAGACAGAGTCAGAATTTCATCTTAAAGGCATTAACCTGGGATCTGGTATGACATTTCCCAGTTTTGAGAAGACCTGATTTTTGCTGAGAATCCTGAGTTGTAAGGCTTCAGAAATGGGTTGTTAGTTATATATTATTCCTATGTCAGAGAACAGGTGAGTGACGATAGTTTGTGTATTTATTTGCATCCTGTCTTTATTATTGTCTACAAATAACTCAAAGTAGGAAACATACCCGACAAACTTTCTTCGTCCTATTTTCCCCACAAGAAAAACCCTGTGGGGGAGTTGGGATGAGAGAAAGTGATGGCCCAAGGACACCTAGCTGGCTTTCATAGCTAAGGTGGGTCTTGAATTTGAGGCCTCCTGCTTTGTAGGCTGATGCCAACTGCTATATATAAACTATTGCTGGTGGCTTAAGGGGAAATCATTAACAGTGAAACCATTTACAAAATGGAAATTAAGATACATTTCAGATAAATTTCCATTTATCCTAATTTGTAGTTTGTAGATTTGACTGAATATGCCATTTCTCATTTCTCGTACAATTGGCATAGCAGGTCAGTACCATCCATTGCCTCTTTCTAAATTTCAGTGTGAATTAATAGAAATCTTGCTTGTATGATTAAGTGGGCTGTAGAGGTAGTCCTCACTTACTGACCTCCACTGGGACTGGCAATCACTAAGCACCAGGGTCATTAAATGAGACATCACATGACCATAACTTGAGATTTGACTTCTGTGTTCTCCCAATTATTTTGCCTTGTTTGGAAGCTGACTGTGAAGTCCATGAATAGTGGTCACATGGCTGCAGGATGCTGTGATGGTCATAAATGAAGAGGATTGGTAGCAACCTTGGTTGCTAAAAGAGACAGTCAGTAAGTGAGGAATACCGTTAGTGTGCTTCTTGACATGAGCCTTTCTTTTACTAGGAGAGTTGTGGTTTTAATTGTGTGCTTGGAGTTAAAATATCTGATTTTCTCTCAGTGTGATTATTTCTGAATACCTACCAAATAGCTCCAAGATAATTTTTCTTTTCATCCACTGTTCCTTATGAATTCTGTATTTTTTATTTTATTTTTTCAAGCATGCATTTGATAATATACAGTATATAAGTATAAACATGATTATTAATACATGAAATAGATGCAAATAAAAGGGAACATTAAAACAGGGATGGTGGACACGCTGATGCGCTTATGCACACTCCTTATAGACCTCTTAGGAATGGGGTGAGGTCAACAGTAGACAGTTTGAGGTTAAAGTGTTTGGGGTTATTGGAACAAAATCACAGACTCAGGTAGAGTATTCTAGGCATTGACCACTCTGTTGCTGAAGTCGTATTTCCTGCAATCGAGTTTGGTGCAAGTTACCCTGAGTTTGTATCTATTGTGTGCTCGTGTATTGTTGAGGTTGAAGTAGTCATTGACAGGTAGGACATTGTAATGGATAATTTTATGTACTACTCTTAGGTCAGACCGAAGGTGGCGTAGTTCTAAGTTATCTGAGCCTAAAATTTCAAGTCTGGAGGCATAGGCTATTTTATTGCGAGGAGTGGAGTGGAGGACTTTTCTCGTGAAATATTTCTGGACTCTCTTAATTGTATTAATGTCCGATATGCAGTGTGGATTCCAGACAGATGAGCTGTATTCAAGAATTGGTCTAGCAAATGTTTTGTATGTTCTAGTTAGTAGTACAGTATTACCAGAGAAAAAGCTTTGCTGGATTAGGTTAACAACTCTGAATGCCTTATTGGAAATGTTGTTGCAGTGGCTCTAGCACTTAAATCATCAGAGATGAGAACTCCAAGGTCCTTGACAGAGTGAGAGTCATCTACAAGCTCTTGTCCGTCCAGCTTGTATTTTATTTTTTGATTTTTCTTGCCAATATGTAAGACAGAGCATAGTCAAGGTCTTTTTGAAGTGTAGCAGCATTGTCGGTGGTGTTGAATACTTTTTCATCAGCTGCAAAAAGAACACAGTTGCTTTTAATATGATCACAAAGGTCATTTATGTAAAGTATAAAGAGAGTTGGTTCTAGAACACTGCCTTGGGGGACACCATTGTTAACAGGTATGGGATTTAATAGGGCGCTCCCTATTTTGACCATTTGTTGCCTGTTTGACTGGAATGCAGCTATCCAATTATGCAGGTGTCCGGAGATGCTATAAGATTTTAGTTTTAGGAGTAGTTTGTTGTGTACCACTGAATCAAAGGCTTTACAGAAGTCTATGTAAACTGCGTCTATTGCTTTGCCCTGATCGAGTTGTGTAGTCCATATGTTTTTGCAGTGTAAGAGTTGCAGATTACAGGATAGTTTTTTCCTGAAACCAAATTGCTTATTAGAGAGCAGGTTGTTTGTCTCTTAAATGGAGGGTAATGGATTGGTTAATAATTGATTCCATGACTTTGCAGATCACGCAGCATAAGGAGATTGGTCTGTAATTTTCAACAAGGCTGGGGTCTCCCGTTTTGAAGATGGGAATGACTGTGGCTATTGATTGTTTCTTGCCTTTTCCTATTGGTTTCAGCAGTATCACAAAAGACCCATGGTTGTGTTTATTTAACAATGGGAGAACAATAGCCCCTGAATTAGCAAAAAAGCAAGCTATATTTTCCATAATGAAAACTTTTGGAAAAAGAGACCTTGACGATGCGTGACTTACTCTCTGCTGCTCTCTCTTTCTATTTATTTTCTCTGGGTGCTTGTTATCTACTTTGCTCATTTCCAGTGAATTCTGTTGTCATCTCAGGAATGTTACTCTCCCCCCGCCCACCAAAAAATCTCCTTTCTCTTTTCTCCCTTCCAAAGGTTTTAGCACTGGTCTTTGTTCGGAAGGTCATGTATTTATGCTTTTCAAAGAGGGAACTCAGCTGGCTTGATGATCCCATGCCAGAAAGCAAGAAGAAAACATTAGATGATGCTATCCAAAAGGCAAAAGAAGATGTGAGTAAGTTTAAGTACACATATAGGTAGTCCTCGACTTGCAACAGTTTGCTTAGTGACCATTCAAAGTTGCAACAGCACTGAAAAAAAAGTGACTTATAATTGTTTTTCACATTTATGACCATTGCAGCATCCACATGGCCATGTGATTAAAAATTCACTTAACAACTGTCTCTCTTAGCAACAGAAATTTTAGGCTCAATTGTGGCCATCATGTTGAGGACTACCTGTACTTAGTAGCAAGATATGTGTGTTGGTATTGTGGGTGTATGTTTGAAATTAAGTGTGTTTCAGCAGAATTGAAAGGACGAGTCTTTAGTGAGCTCTTTTCGAAGTTTTCTTCTGCTTAGGGGCTAAAAGATTTTCCTATCTCTTCTCACTGATCTTTGTCAACATCTTTTATCCCTTTTGGGTAACGTGGAATAGTTTGTTGTCTTTACACAGTCCGGAAATCCGAAGAAAAAAAAGGTGCTATTTATTTTTATCCTGCCTTTATTAGTTTTATAGGTAACTCAAGACAGTGAACATACCTAATGCTCCTTTTTCCTATTTCCTCCACCTCCAATAACCCTGGGAAGTGGACTGGGATTATGAGAAAGAGAGATTGGCCCAAAGTCACTCAGCTGGCCTAAGACAGGACTAGAACTCACAGTGTATCGGTCTGTAATCTGGCGCTTTAACCACTACACTAAACTACACTATACTAAAGGTTCCTCTAATTTTTCAGCATACATATGTGGTCCATTCAGTTCTTTACATAAATTCAGACAGAATAGGCATGGCAATTATAGGTCTAATCCTGATTCTCCCTTCCAAAGGTCCATCCACATGTTCCCCTAACTGCAACTTGCTATGTCCTCATGATACTGTTTCCATCTCATCCTCGGCCCATAACTGATGTTTTCCATTTTTTTCATGACACAATTGTGGCTGTATGTGGCTCTTTACCAGGAACTGCACTGAGTGATGATGTAATCGGGCAGAAACCCATCCAACATTCACATCATTTGCTTTGGGGCCTCTGGACACTGTACTCCATCTCCCTTTTTCCTGTGTGCTGCTGATCTGATGTGACCGCTGGCTTCTGCAGGCAGATGTCCAGTGCTTTTGGGAGAGTAAGTCAGATCTTTTCCAGGCACCTTGCTAACATAATCACCACTACGGTGAAACAGCGCAAGGATGCTTTCATGTCTTGCTTCTATGCTCTCATGAGTGACCACTAGAGGGAGCATTAGCTCTTTCTTTAAAAACATGACAGTTTTTTTTTCTCTCCAGAAATTTCACCAGGAAAAACAGTTTTTAGCGGAAAAGGTTTCCCGCTTCAGCTAACAAAGGAGCGTACTTTCTACTGCACGGGTGTCAAACTGGATCTGGCCTGCGGGATGCTTAGATCTGGCTCATGGGGCCACTCTGGAAACAGCAAAGGACCAGCCTGTGAAGCCTCTGCCAGCGAAAACTGAGTTCGGGGGGGCATGTGTGGCCCTCCCAGGCCCTGTTTTGGGCAGTGACAGCCTCCTGCAGCCCTCTAGCAGTGAAAACAGAGCTCCGCTTTTACTGGCAGAAGGCTGTAGGAAGCTGGTCGTGGCTGAAAACGGGGCTCTGGGGGGGCATGCACAGCCCACCTGAGCTTTGTTTTTACTGGCAGGGGGCTGCAGGAGGATGTCGCAACCGAAAACCGATCAGGAGCCCGTTTTCGCTGGCCTTCGACATGAGTGATGTCACTCTGGCCACACCCCTTGGCCACACCCCCCCCTGGCCAGGTCAAACATAACCCTGATACAGCCCTTAATGAAACCAAGTTTGACAGCCCTGTTTGTTTTTACATAGTTATTTCAGTCCTTTTTTCTTGTGTTTCCATATCTTTTTTTCTTATCTGCTGTATTTTTCTTATCTCTGTATTGAAGTCCCAGACTTTTTTTTACTGAGGTCCTAGCCTCTCTGGATGTGATCTTTTGCCATCTCCCGCTCGCTTTTCGGTGGCAACTGCTGTGAATATTGTGGGCCCGTAGGTTACATTGGGCGTAACTTTCTGACTCTGGTGGTAATTTCCTGGAAAGAGATTCATGTCTTACACCATGTTAGAAAGAACTTCACTGCCTCCAGGCATGGACTGTGTAGGTACTAAGTAAATTGGAACATTTTAATACAGTAATGATGGAATTCAGAGCATAATGCAGATCAGGCTACTTTGGTTTTAAACTTGTTTCTTTATTGTCAGCAAATGTCATGAAAGTTGATAAATGAAGCTAAATAAAATGATACAAATGATATCCAAAGGTAACCATTATCAATTTGGTCATAGAAAACTTTGGTTGGTCTATGTGCAGATTATTTTGTCAGTCTTAACCAGAATTTTTCTTGTGTTAAAAAGGAATCTCAGAATATGATAGAAGATGGTACCTCAGCTGTAGCTGAAATGTCTCCAATGACTTCAAATTATTTGACAGTTCCAGGAAGCTCAAAAAATGTACCAAAAATTGACATTAGGTAAAAAAAAAGAAGCTAAATGCAATTATTACATTGTTGTTGTTTGTGCTGTTGTTGTTGCTGCTGCTATTACTATTTTAATTCTTCTAGTAACCTATTTGGGAAGATACCGGAATACTCTTTGGCACATCTTTTGAGTGGTATCAACTATTTTTACAACTGTGTTCATATGCAGACACTCATGGCTCCATCGCTGACATTTTTAAAAGAATAGCATCTTAAATAATTTCCAGTTTTGTAAATATACACAGGGCCCTGTCCAGCTGTGTCCTACCTCATGGGAAATGATATGGAGTGTAGCTGCTAGAATTTCTATTTCCAAAATTTAAAAAGGACCAAGTTTGGAAGTTGTCCCCCCACCAAAAAATATTTAAAAATTTGCCCTTATTGTTGTTCAACTGCGTAGCACGGGTGTCAACTCATGTTGTCACAGCATCATCATGTGACTTTTCCCCCCTACGCTAAACCAGGCATGGGCATGGCCAGCACATGCCCATCCGGCCTGCAGGCCGGGAGTTTGACAGCCCTGGTGTAGCACCAACCTGCATCCGTTAACATAGCATTCATCGTGGTTGGGGGTGGCTTCTCCTTCCATTTAAGAATGCCTTGGATACTAGCATCAGCCACAACTCTATCCTATTTTTTTGTTAGGTTTTTAATTATCTACATGGAGGAAGATTTTAAACTCAAAAGCTTGCAACTGTTTTAAAGCATTGTCCTGTTATAGGAACTATTTCTGTAGATTGTTCTTACTCTGACACCCCCCCACACCTGAACAATGCAATAGCAATAGCTGGTCTGACCAAGACTTCCTGAAACTAATAATCCCATGCTGTTCCCAAACCCTCCTTTTTTATTATTTCAACGGCTGTGAATTACATGCATTCACAGCCTGTAATGAGTCCCAAACAGTTCATGAATAGTCCATCAGAAGTCTGCCACAGTCTTTTCGGGATAAGGCTGATAAGCACCCACCTTTATCTCCCTTGAAATGCTGCCAACGACTAAATTGCCAATTAGTTGTACAAGGCCAAATAGAGCACAAAGTCAACAAAGAGCTTCAGATGTTAAATCGACCAGAATGAACAAAGTTGCTTCCTGCAAAGTCTCATGTCCCCTTGATCCTCCTTTATGTCTTATGGGAGGGGCCAATCATCTCCAAGCCTTACTCCCAAGTCACCCCTTTTGTCAACCTTGAGCCAGTGAGACTCGAATTGCCAAATTGCTGGCAGCTGGTGATCAGGAAAAGTAGCCTGCAGTACTGCATTCTAACTACTGCACCACCATGGCTCTTATGCAGCTGCTATTATACTTAAAAAATAAATAAATCAAAATTGCTTGTTTGTTCTGCGGGTGCCCTTTCCTGACTAGTTCTTGAAGCTGTACTGAAAACTTGTTTCTAGAAACAGATCTAACAAAGGACTGAATTTTTCCTACTCTTTTCCCTGACACACATTATTGAAGAAAAAAAAAACAAGTCCCTTCATTCATGTTTAGTATCCTGTTGTATTGTGTTACGGTAGAATTTCCGGCATGTTCTGGGACAAAATATTTTGCCCATAGAAGGACTCAAGTTCTCTAATTGTTGAAAGAAAAAAAAGTTTTTCAATTCAAGGCCATTTTAAAAGATGTTACTTAAACTATAATTAAGTTCACTGCACCATCACTCATGCTTTCCTATTCCTTATTGATTGATTGATTTAACGTGTATGACACCCATCTCATTCTAAAAAGAGAATCTTTGGAGTTTGGAGTACCATTGAAAAAAATAAGGCTGATATTGAACTAACTGAACTTTCTACCTGGATACAGGTAGTCCTTGACTTCCAACCATTCATTTAATGATCATTCGAAATTACAACAGCAGTAAAAAAAAGTACTTATGACCATTTTTTGCTCTTACAACAATTTCAGCATCCCCATGGTCATGTGATCAAAATTCAGATGTTGGCAACTGGTTCACATTTATGACGATTGCCGTGTCCTGTGGTCACCTTTTGTGACCTTCTGACAAGCAAAATCAGTGGGGAAGCCAGATTCACATAACAACCGTGTTACTAATTTAAGAACTGCAATGATTCTTTTAACAACTGTGGCAAGAAAGATCGTAAAATGGGGCAAAACTCACTTAACATCTGTCTCGCTTAGCAACATAAATTTTGGGCTTAATTATGATCATAAGTCAAGGACTACCTCTATTTAATGAGGTTGGTATACAACTAAGAAAAGAATGATAATATTAGAAAAATGGATGTGTTATTCCTTGCCTCCACTCACCCATATGTATGAACTGTATTTGTTCATTGACGGTCACTTTTAATATTTAAATTTCTGGCATTCCAGACTTCTGGCTTTATAATTACAATAGTCATGGCTTTGTTCATGTAATCAGGGAAAAGAACAATTTTCTAATCATAAAATACAGTGTTTTGAAAGAAACTGAATTATATGTGTTGTATTTGGAAATAGTCCGTGAATGATTTGCTATCTCGTTTAAGGCAGGGGAATCAACTCTAAATGATAAAAATAATTTTATAAAATAAGAAATCTCTTAATGAAAATGTTATTGTAGGCCCGATCCTGCAGATATTAATATCTCAGAAGAAATGCCGAAAACAGCTGTGTGGAAGACCCTCACCATGAATACAGAAAAACTCTGAAGTTAAAAGGAATAGGTATGGCAATTTTCTATAGGGCAGTCTCAAATCTCTAAATGCAGTCTTCAAGAAATGATAATGTCACCTAGTTTGGTAATGAAACACCTGCAAGAAAATCACCAAGAGGTGATTTTCAGAGAGCACCAAGAGCCACACCATCTTCAAGGAAGATTATATAAAAGGGATAGTTTTCAAAATGGCATGCTGAAAATTGTTATCCATGTCTCCCCAAATATTGTAGTTTTCTTAAATCTGTTACTGTGAGCTGAATACAGTCAATATATGCCCACAAAATCACCATACCATCTGTGTAGCATGGCAAGTCAACAGTTGTATTATATATAGTTTATAAAGGAAGAGCAGTCATTTGACTCATGATAGAAATGTCTGGTCCAGAAGCAGATGTGAGCTTTTACTAACTGGATGCCCTTCCTGACACCTATGCAGAGTTCACAGCAGACAATTACTCATTGTGCCCAGAGAGAGAAACATCTTCCACTACCTAGGATTGAACTCACAGCCTCCTGACTGCGAGGTGAGAGTTCCACCTCTAGGCCACTACGCCACTCTAGACCATTTCTATATGCCAAGGATATAATTGGACAACCACGATGCACGCACTCTAAACCTGTTTCATTTGCTTAAAAGTTGGGGTGGGGAAAAATAAAAGATACGGGAAATGTCTTCAGGGTATCCAGGTCTAGTATCTCTAATGGGAATTTTTGATTTACAGCTTGGCCATTTGGGACTTGGCTTAGGACAAGGAGCTTGCAGCACATGAAGATGACTCAGGGAAGAGCCAAGGTGTGCAGGCAAAGGAGAGAAAATACTTTTTGCAATGGAAAAGGCACAGACTCACTAATTGCCCTGGTACTTCCTTCATATAAGTAACTGGGTTCATATTAAAGCCATTGAGAAGTGTTTTGATTATCCTTTTGTGTGCTTCGTTGGGCATTCTAATTATCTTTTGACCAGCAAGGTAATAGAAATCTGATATTAATATCAGATTCTCACATATGTGCACACTCTCTTATATGTGCACACACACAGGTGCATATTTTCTGTATTACAACATCTTAGTAGTAGAGAGATTGCTAGTACTTTTTTTTTTTGCCTTCCGGTGTTTGTTCAACAATTTCCACTTTGAATGTACAGCAACATTATGCCACATTATTTTGAGTTTCTGTTTGGTTTCGGTTTATTGGTGCTACTTAGAGATGTGGGTGTTGTTTGCAAAATCCAATAATAAAATATTCCTGAGTTACCATGCAAGCAATTGATAAAAGGTAACCCACTATTATAAATAAGTGGGAGAAATGTCTCTATGTTGCCCTCCCTGTTTTTGTTTCATAATCATGCTGCTTAAATTCTTTTTCGCTTCTTTGTTTATTTGACAGCCAATCCTGTGAGGAGGTGTTTTTTTTTAAGGAAATGTGTATGTTGCTTTGTTAATGTGATTTCATATCTAGGTGAGTTCAGCCAAGCCATTGACCTCAGCAGTGCAAATTATTTAAGGGGAGGGAAATGTGTTTAACAGAAAAATTGTCAGTGTCACTGTTTGCACTATTTTGATGGTTACTAGCTGCCAAGATAATGTGTGCCCCCAAAATAAGATAGATATTGGAGCTCAAGGTGTGTACAAATGAAGAAGTAATGTAGTGTAGCAATGCAAACATTTATTATCTCTCTCCATCCATGTGATAAAATACATGTCTGGCCTTGGGACTAGGAAGGGGTGAATGAACTGTAAAGGGTGCTAATTCAGAAAATATTACTCAGATGTGAGAAATAAGGAAACACGAGAAAGAAAATCAAAATAACACACATACAGACTAATTTTGCTCATTATAAGATGTAGTACAAAGAAGCTTGGACAGTTTTCAAGATTCTGTTCTTATTCTCTCGAATAATAAAGATAATGTCAAGTGGTCCTCAGTCTCCTTTCAAAAAAGTTAAAGTTATAATGTCAAAAGATAATAAAATTATTTGGCAAAAGTGATTCCTCCCTTTCCACACAACCCTGCTTGGTTGACAGAGAAGAAGGGGAGAGACAGAAGGAGAGAGAAGATATCAAGAAAACAGGAGTTCAGGGTTGCAGAGAAAATGGATGACTTTACAGATTACAAAATCCCACAGAGAGCTTCTTTCTATCTCATCCATTAGCATCATGTGGGCTCCATAGTTTAGCCTCTCCTGGATATATGACACTGGACAGAAAAAGAAATTGTTCGTTCCTGCCCTGTAGTTCATTCTAAACCATTGCTTTTCCTTTTCTTGTTGTTGATGGTCATAGAATATTTAATCTTGCATTTCTAGCATTCAAAACAGCTTACAAAAAGAAGGACCAAAACAATAAATATGAAAGCACACTTTGCATACAATCCTAAAGAAAATTGCTTTAAAGTAACCCTACTGAGCCCATGTTGTTTACTAGTTCACTTTGTTTTAGAGTGTGGTCATCATATTGGAATGAGGATTCATGTTTTTGGAGAATAAGATAAATATTTTGCAGGCTTTTTAAAAAGTACAAATACATATCTATTTTTTTACTATACAACAAATTGTACACGCTGTAATATCATTCAATTGAAAGCAATGCATAGTGTGTTACATGGATATTCCCTGCTTTAAAAAAATAACCTGATGTGTTAAAGTTCATTTCCCAAAATTGTTATCCCGTATCCTGGCATGTCATAGTGTTAAGGAAGATTGCTACACATATTTGCCTGGGAGTAAGTCAGTTAGATTCAGTATAGCATTTCTGAACAGATTAAGCCAAAGCTCCACTTGGAGCTTTGGACAGTTAAGTATGCAGCAAAAATTAATTTATATTTAAATTATTTTCTTTGTGCATTTTAGCTCTAGTACTTAAAAACTAAACTGAAAAACACTACATTGATAAGCAATGTGATTGACAATGAACAATTGTTTCTCCTTGTTTTCTCTAATAGCATAAATTGATGCCTTTGTTAGGAACTTGGAAGGCACCATTTCCTGCAGAGAACTCTTAGATGATCCACTTTGGCCTGCATGCTTGATGCAGCCAAGTGACTATTTGCTGTGTCTTTTGTGATGCGGTGAGGCTAGCAAGGAAGTGAAAGATAAATTGCATACATTTATACCCCAAGCTTCCATGTGGGCTGCTATTTTTGGAAACCAAGCTGGCTCTGTGTTCTTTATGCTCTATACTTTAGAACTGTGGGCCAAGTCATCTGGTAAGCTCATCTCTTTCTTAGGCTGCTCCACTATGGAATTCAAATTCTTATAGTGTCACTACTAAATATAGAGAAGAATCAAGTAATTGGTTCTTGCTGATTGACATGAGACAACATTATTTCTTATCTTTTGAAGCCAGTAGGCATATTTAATCTTCAGAAAGCATGTTATGGATGAAATTCACAAAATGGTCCGTAGGCAAGTGTGGTTAGTCATATAATGACCACTGCATGGAAATGACAAACCTTCCTCAAAAAAATCTGCCCCACAACACAAATTTTGAAGGTTTTAAAACAAATTAAAATCATGTCACATATTAAAAATAAAGATAATATTTAAAATAATACCAACTGTCCTGCCTACCTAATAATTATAGGGAATTAATATGGCAATTTGAACAAAATTAAGAGAGAATTAAACAGATTTAAAACTTCAGGAGATGAATAATGCTGTCTTACACTTGTATGATGTATGATGCAACACACCATCTTTAGATTTCCCATAAATTAGTTGCAGGTCGTTTTCTATTTATAACCATTCGTTTAATTTATAACCATTTGAAGTTACAATGGCACTGAAAAAAGTGACTTATTATCATTTTTCACATTGATAACCGTTGCAACATTCCTATGGTCACATCATCAAAGTTTGGATGCTTGGCAACTGGTTCACATTTATGATAGTTGCAGTGTCCCAGGGTCAAATTCATTTAACAACCATGTTAAATGGTTAACAACTGCAATAATTCATTTAACAAGTGTAGCAAGAAAGATAATAAAATGGGACAAAAGGCACTGAGCATCTGTCTTGCTTAGCAACAGAAATTTTGGGCTGAACTGTCAATAAGCCAAGGACTACCTGTATATTATAAAGAGACAGTAGTTTTCAAACAATCATTCAAGTGTCTTTCAGTAAGACATTATGTTTCTTTGATAGATTTCATTGCTGAAAAAAGGAAGTCACAGAAATTTGAGTTTTCTAGCAGTGTCTCATCACCATACAATTTCAAAACTCTTCATGAGTTTAATTTGTGTGGCAATGAGAGACATTGCCACTGAAGACTGGTTTGCATTAGAATACATTTTCTCAAAGCGCAGTGGGAAAGAAGCAGTACTAAATATAAAGGGAGCATTCCACAACTGTCAACTACAAATAAATATACATTATTATTTTATCCTGCCTTAATATAAAATAAAAATGATCACCGATTTATGGATGAAACCCACTTCATTATCAGATACAGTATATTCAACCTGATAAAACAGTTTTAGTAGTTGGATAAATTGATGTCCCCATTGAGAAAGAACCCAGTAGTAATTAATGAGTTCCCAACTGATTTCCCAAGGAAATCTCTCAAAGGATTTATTGATTTGAGAAGACAACTCTATCTTACCTCTCCTAGAATCAGGTCTGGTAGAGAATCCAAATCATTTGCATCTTAATTTTCATAAAGGAGTTTGTCTTAGTTGTGGCAATGCATTTTATTACATGCTTATAAAAAGTCAATGCTCAGCTTTGTGTCCAAATGTTCTGAAGAGTTCTTCAGATAAATTGGTAGAACCTGAATAGGAAATAGCAGAGCAATGCAAGTAATCCTCACGTATCCACCACTCATTCAGCAATCATTCAAAGTTATAAAAACACTGAAAAAGGAGACTTGCAGTAGCCATTGCAGCATCCCTACAGTAATGTGACTGTGATTCGGGCACTTGGCAACCAACACATTTATGATGATTGCAGTATCCCATGGTCATGTTCTTGTCAGTTACAACCTTTAGCACAGCCTTCAAACAAGCAAGCCAATAGGGAAGCCATTAGGAAGTTGCATGATATGATGTCATGCTTAATGATCCACAGTGTATCTCTTAATCACCACTAAGTTGGCCATGATCACACAACATTTACTTTATATCTGATAGCCATAGAGTTTCCAATCCCAACTGCAGTTGGTAAATGAGGACTGCTTGTATTAGGGGCTAAGACGAGAAGGCAGAATTGAATGGGTTATGAACAGTATCATGACGGAGTTTTGCAAGGGTACAGCTAAGGCAGAAAATACATTAATGTGTGGATTGTGGCAATTTTTGGTTATTTACAGAGCACTGATATATTAGTTGGTCAAGTAAAACACCAACAACTTCAACACATGGCTAGATTCATATCACAGAGCCAGTTTGGTATAGTTAATAGTAAGGTATCAGCATAGAAACCAAGAAACTGAAATCTAGTCCCATCTAAGGTACAAGCCAGTTGGTTGTCAGTCTTTCTCTCAGCCCTAGGAAGGAAGCAACGGCAAACCATTTCTGAAAAACCTCACCAAGAAAATTCCAGGTGGTTTTGGACATGATTGAATGGAAGAAATAGACTCATACCAAACTCTCTTCTGGAATAGTATTGAAAGGTAGCACAGATGGATCCGTGGAGCTATGCCTTATTCCAGATACTTGGGATCATTCTGAATTAAAGCATAAACTTTAAGACTGGAAAAACATTGAGAAATAAGCCTATTGTGTCTTTTGCGTACATAATCTATTCTAAACCATATGCCCATTTATTGATGAATAAAGTATTTTTGGAAAAACGGGGGAATAAATATTTAAGAAATAGCATCCAGATGGATAGTTTTTCAAATTCAGAGTGTTGGCATTCATTTGGTGTAGGAGGAGGAAGGAATTTAAAGTTCTGGGAACTGAAATAGAGCAGGACAGGAGAGGGAAGAGGAGATATTGCAGGCTGGCAAATTTATCTTTGTTGCCTCTGAATGCCTAACAAGTTTCCACAACCACAGCATAACTTTTTTAAAAAAATTCCAATCTTTTGCAGAGTAGACCAGAAAAATACAATTAAAGGCTAGCTGAAGGTAGGAGATCCATATCATTCATTAGGGGCTAAGGGACTGTAGACTTTGTTCCAGTTTTTTCTAGAACATTCATGAGGTCTGCTCTTGATCCATTTTAGATTAATCTCCCACAAACTGGAAATCCTAGGATGATGGAATTGCAGTTCCAACAGATGGGGAGGCATTAGGGAAAGATAACACACTCTTCAAGCATGTTGACCATTTTTGAAAATTATGAAGAATTTCATAATCTTAAACTGAAGAAGGAGAGGAATCCAAGAAAAGGTGCTGGCACATTTTTCTAGTGTTTTTTCTTCCTCCTATAACAACTACATGTAGAAATAGAGAAACTATTTTCTTTTTAGATATAAAAGAAAACATTTATTTTGTTGTAAGAAATGTAATTTTAAAAAAACCACCCCATATTGTAAATAAATGTAATAATGGGGAGAAGGACTCTTATTGGTTCTGTAGTAACTGAAATACATTTGCTAAAATTTTGCTCAAAAATGAGTTATCTAAATAAGTATAGTTTTGTTGTTTTACGGTTAAAAAATCACTGATTCTGCCTCATACTTCATGTCTGTACAAACTCTGTCAATAATAACACTCTGATGATTGAGAATTTTACCCATTATTGATCTAAATGTTAAACTTCAATATTAAAGTATTATTCTAAGCGTGCCCTTTGTCATGTTATTTTCAGAGACAGTGGTTTCCATTGGAATAAGTTTAAAAATTTTATACTGCTTTCCCAAACATTTTTTGATTTTTAAAAATTATTTTACTTTTACAAACATACTTTTAAGATACTTAATTTTTTTCAATCTGCATATATGCCATGAATAAAGGAAGCCTTCAATGACCAAATAATGAGCTGATATGGAAAATATCATTCTCTACTTTAATTGTTCTGTGTTCTCTGATTGGTACATGTCATTTTTTAAAATTGTTTACAAGTCTCCAATGAAGTGGGCTTCCTGCCTATTCAGTGTTTCATTCTGAAAGAAAAGCTAATCTAGGCCAATAAGTGTTTATGGATGGCTCACGTATATCAACATTCCCTATTTAATATTCATTGTAGGCTGGAGGAGGAGGTGATGGTGGTGAAAAAAATGCACATATATATTGGGATCCAGAAACAAGTGTGAAAGTCCACTCTTAAGTATTTGGGTAAGAAAATGGGAAAGAGGAAACAATGCATGTCAATGGCGTGCTATAGATGGGCAAACCGGGCAAAAAGGATGAGATAATGCCCTCCCAGACAGACTACAGAAGTTTCAGGAAGGAAAGACATAGTAAGTAAATCAATCAAGGTTGCAAGGTCTTAAACATTCCTAAGAGATTTTGCTGACAGTTCCATTTTCTGGCTGATTGAAGAAGACACTATTATTCCAGATTTTATTTTCACCAATAAGTAACAGCTATCAGAAGAGGTAGCGATAACTTTGGGACCGAGGCAGTGATCACATCATCTTAAAGTTCAAACATTGCAGAATGAGAAATTGGTCCCGCATGTTAGTTCTCAGGAAAGTCAGCTTAAAACAAACAGAGAGGTACTAGGTGGCATCTCATGGGGATAAAACTTTAGGTTAAAGGGAACACAGAATATATTTTCTAATTGAAAACTAATTTTTTTCAATACTGAGCAACTTAATTGACTGCAGGAATGCAGTTTCTTCAATATGACCTTCAACTACCTCTCATGAAATTTTAATAAGGAAGCCCACAAAATATGATTTGGACGTTACTGTTAGGTAGATATAAAACTGAGAGAAAATACTTCAAAATGAGTGACAATGCTGACACTCTGGTGGACCATTGACTTGATCCATTGGGATTCATATTGCCTTCTGTTCTTTACATCTTTTTGCAAGATTACAATGATCCTGCATTCACCATCTGTGAAAGAGCTCTATGTTCTTTGGTGACAGTAAAAACTTTCTTCTTGGGGCACGTGACAAAATCCTTTGTAAACAGAGAGCTGGGAAGCTGTGTGTGTGTGTGTATTTGAAGAGTCGATATATTTTTGTGTGTGTGTATTCAGTTTCTTTCCGAACAAAGCTGAATAATATATATATATATATATGTGTGTGTGTGTGTGTGTGTGTTTTCTTAAGTTTTCGTGGGTACTTGCATGTATGACATTCAGCTTTGTTCAGGTATTTTCCCACGTCATTGTAGTTGTGCATCATCAGAAGCCTGATGATGGCAGATGAGATTCTGCTGAAACGTTGCTACAACTTTAAAAGCACAACTACAATGACGTGGGAAAATACCCGAACAAAGCTGAATGCTATATATATATATATATATATTTGTTTTCTGAGGTTCTCGCGGGTATTTATATGTAGATCTTTGGTTGTTCGGGTTTTCTCCCGCGTAAGATTCGAAGTATCTAAGCAACGTTTCGATGAAGTCTCATTCATCATCTTCAGGCTTCTGTCTCCAGCTCTGTGCTTCTCAGAGTAATGGAGATTGCAGCTGCTTCCTCCTTTTAACTGCCAGTGGGGGTGGAACTTGATTGGGTGGGGGCTTGGCTGTGTTCTGATTGGGTGGGGGGGTGTTCTCATTGGTAGGGGGTTTGGCTGTGTTCTGATTGGTTGGGGGGTTAGCCGTGTTCTGATTGGTTGGAGGCGTGTTCTGTTCAGGAGGGGGCTTGGTTGTGCTCAGGTTAGTTTTAGTTGCTGGGGGATTTGAGCTGGAGAGTTGTGATCTTGCTGTTTGGCTTCTAGTTCGTGGTCCTGCTGCATCTTCATAGTGGGTGTCGGTTTGCTTCATGTATGGCTCAGAGGGGTTTGAAGTGGGTAGTGATGCAGCTGCAGTGCAGCTTCTGGTCCA